ATTACAGTAGAACCTCGATTATCCGCCCTAATTGGGGACTGGGGTTGGTCGGATAATTGAAAAGTCGGATAACCGAAAAGTATGAAAAAATCCATTATTAGTGTAGTATATTATTATATCCCATGTAATTTGTATATTAGTATATCGCTATTAACCTACTTTGCATTGAATTTTCATCGATGTTAAGCCTAACAAAAATTTTTTAAAATAATAATTGTCGCTATTGTATCGTTAAAAATTAGAAAATTAAGCCTCATTTAAATACTGGCTCCCTTTCATGGTCGAATGAGTGTTGCCAGCTAAAACACAGAAAAATAATATTAAAGTAACCAAAACATAGCCAAATATTGTAGCGCTACATCACTAGCGGACATTTGAAAATTGCCGACTAGGACGGTCGGTTAACCGAGGTGTCGGATAATTGAGGCTCTACTGTACTACTTTTTTTTAATAAAAAGTTAAAATATCAACAGCAATTTTATGTATTTTCAAAAATATATAAATAATAAGATTAATCAAAATTCAAAAATGTGTAAAAATATGATCTTACCTCATTTATTTTAAGAACAAATAATCTTTTACAGCTCCAATTGGTGCACCAACAGATGTAAATGTAGAGCCTATAGGATCCAGAACTCTGAAAGTATCTTGGAAAGTAAGATAACAATCATATTTTGTTAACATGTAGCAAAGAAGTTATCTTAATTGTTTCCTCCATTTTTTAGGCACCTCTTCTTGATCATCGCAACGGTATCATTAAAGGCTATTATGTCGGTCATAAAGAGTCTGATTCATCACAGCAGTATCGGTATCAAACAGTTGAAAAAAGTGGTATTGATCCTGAATCACTTCTTATTGCTGGACTTCAAAAGGCTAAAGTTTATAATGTAGTTGTAAAAGCATTTAATACAGCAGGGTCTGGACCAGAATCACATCCTGTTGAAGCTTATAGTCTAGAAGGAGGTATGCCTCAATTCTATTATTATTATTATTATACATTTCAATTTTCTTACTTTTATCATTAATTAATAAATTCAATAAATACAAATAACTGTTGTTTGTCTGTTATGCAAATAAAAATAACAATTTAACAAAAGCACTTTTTTTTGTTAAAAGCATGCAATTTTCAATATATTTTTAATTTTATAAACATAAATTAAATTCAAAACATTACATGTATTAGAGATATTTTTAGAAATAAGTATACATTGCCATAGAAATCACAGTTAATCATAGATTTAAGTCATTCTTCAGCAAGCACACAAACATACACAAGGCTTATATAGACTATAGAAAAGCATTCAACAGCATTCCACACAGTTGGCCTCTACATATTCTACACATGTACAAAATACATCCATCACTCATTGCATTCTTCCAAAACACTATGCAGCACTGGAGAACACTACATCTTAGTATTCATAACACTTCCATACAAACAAACCAAATATTCCTTAAGCAAGGAGTTTTTCAAGGAGATTCCTTGAGTTCTCTCTGGTTCTGCTTAGCCTTGAACCCATTATCTAACATTTTAAACAACAGCAATATGGTTACAATTAGGGATTGCAATTGCTGGATCCCTCATCCAGCAATCCAGCTGGATCCAGCACATTTTTCCACCTGTTGGATCCAGCACCTGGTGCTGGATCCAGCACCTGGTGCTGGATCCAGCGATGCGGATCCGCAAATACTCAATTAACTTTCTAAATAAAGGCGCAAAAGTCTATATTGTCAGCCTTGCTGCTTTGCTACGTGCACTATCACTCGGTGGCGATAGCGACGTTGCCGTTCAGTGCGGCACGTGCTACACCCCTTCTCTACACAGCACCCCCTACCCTTTTACCTCTACTGATCTAATTGCCAGTTGACTTTCCGTTCTCACTAAACAAAGTGTCTTCGCGCTAAATAAAATAAGTAACTCCTATCCTAGTCCTGGTGCATAATTCTAATTTACGGTCGGTTGTGACATCAATGAATCACGTGACGGAACGATCGCAGTTTAAACTGGCCGTAGAATCTCTCTTCAGAAGAGTCAAGTATGATAACTGCTGACACAACCCTGAAATTTGTCTTAGACAAACTAAAAAGCCAGGACACAAGCCAGGACGCAAAAGAATCAGAGAACGGCGTCTTATCGAGGTCACAGGGATGCTGATTTACATACAGAACCCGAAAAACTATAACCAAAAAGTTAGAAAGCACGATTATTCTTTCACAATACCGAAAAAAATGTAATGCGCCAGGAGATGAAAAATATGCTGAATCGAGTAAATACATATGTAGTGGAACCAGCAGCAATGGCTGAGGATATTATGGAAACGGAAAACGATGATCCAGATAACCCGCATTCATTCCCTGAATTTCACATTGGAATAAGAATCGGAGATCCAACTAAAGCGTGAGAAAGAAAACTTCATGAAACGAAAAGAAACTAGTACTGAGAAGGATTATGATAAGTTATTAAAAAAGGAAATGGCTGTTTATGAACGTGAGGGAGTCAAAGGTAAAAACTTATCTTTAATTTATGATTATTTGATGACCCTGAAACCAACTAGCATAGAGGCAGAAAGAGCCTTCTCCGCAGCGGGATATATATGCAGTTCATTAAGAAGTAGGTTGGGAGACAACACCATCAATACCATTTGTTTCTTGAGATCCTACTTTTAGAAAAGTCAAAAAAATAACAGAAGTGATTGATTTAATTTTATTTAATCCTTTAAAATACTTTATTCAAGACAAGACTAATATTTTATAACTTCTACTCTAATTCTATTAAGTAAGAGTTTTTAACTTTTATTCTATAAGTGGTTAGTGGGCTAGGCTAGGCAATTTTATTGTTAAAATTAGTGAGAAACTGAGACTACCTAGTTAGTTAAATAGTTAATTAAATTAATGAGTATCAGTATCTTAGATATATGATGATATGAATGTATATGATTCATGATTGTGATAATAATAACTAACTACTAGACTACTACTAATTACTTACTCACTACTTTACTAACACTAATAATTAAATTACTTATAAATAACTACAGACTGATATGTAGAGCCTATATAAGAAAACTGGTAAGACTGATAGCCACTTAGCCACTGATTATCCATCCGTACATTATTATAATATAATATATTAATATAAATTAATTAGTAAAATTACCTTTGCTATTATTTTAACTTAAAGATTACATTATAATTATAATCTAACTAAACATTTAAAGTTAATTATTTCTATCTCAAGTGTTAAACCGAACCAAAGTTAAGTTTACTACCTAAATGTGTAAGAAGTTTTACCGATTTATAGTGAGCAGTCTAAATAATAAAATTTTCTTAAGTACAGTATTTTGAAAAAATGTTTTATTTATTTTAAAAAACCCATAAATTTCTGGATAGATAGATAGATAACACTTTATTACACCAAAAAACATTCACGCATCATTCCAGCTGGATCCAGCTGGAATGATGTCGGTCCACCAAAAATCCAGCTGGATTAAAAACACTGCTGGATTGCAATCCCTAGTTACAATATCAGACATGAAAAAAACAACACAGTTTACATTGTCACATCTCATGTACTGTACATGAACAATATAAAACTTTATGCATCCACACAAAAACAACTTCATCAACTCCTTCAAATCACACATTCATATTCCAAGGACAGACAAATGCCTGGACAAACACTTCACATAGAAAAAGGAGTCCTGAAGAAAGAAGATTTTGAACTTGGAAATGGAGATGTTATTGAATCCATGGAAGAGGGTGAGTTCTAATTTAACTTGTTGGAATCCTAAATATTTAGGATTCCAACAAGCTAAATTAACAGAACATACACAAATAAAACAAAGATTAATTAAAGACTGCCAAAGTAGGTTAAATGCTATTCTCAGAACACAGTTAAAGCAATAAACACATGTCATCCTAGTATTCACACATTCTTTTGGAGTTATACATTGGACTCACACAGATTTTGAGCAACTCCAAAGGAAAACAAGAATAATACTAAGCATAAACATCATCATCTGAAATATGCCCCAGAAAGATTAACTCTTCCACGTAAAGATGGCAGACGTGGCCTGATTGATGTAGTAAACCTTTATTACAAACAAATACGGACTTTGCAAGAGTTTTTCTACAAGAAACAAGAAACATCACAGTTACATAAAACAGTAACTCTTGCAGACTCAAATAACACACCATATGGACACAATACAACATATAAAAAGCATAGACATCATTAATCAACCATGGGTTCAAAAGGCATTCCACGGCAGGCATCCCTACAACCTGGCCCAGGATTTTGTTAACAAAACTGCATCAAACAACTGGTTAGCTTGGGGATTCATTATTGCCATACAGGATCAGGTCATAAATACTAAAAACTACAGAATATACATACTCAAAGATACAACACTCACAAATGACACATGCAGAAAATGCTACATCATGCCAGAAACTATATAACACATCACTTATGGTTGCAAGCTCTTGGCACAGACAGATTGCTACTTGATTATGTCTATGTAAATAAATATAATACACCAAGAGCATGTAAAGAAACACAAATTATTAGACATCCATGAACTTTACTACAGATATATTCCATAGACAGTATTTGAAAACAAAATGCACAAAATGAACTATGACAGAGCCATAATCACAGATGAAACAATATATCACAACAGACCAGACATCACACTCATTGACAAAGACAATAAAATCACATACATTATAGACATATCCATTCCAAACACGCACAACATACAAAACACATGCACTGAAAAAATCAGCAAGTACGCAGAACTTGTGCTTATTGTACTGTACCTGTCGTTCTCTCCTCTACAGGTGTCATACCACACACACACACACTACACAAAAACCTGGAAACATTACAGTTAAATCGAAACACATACAGAAGGCAACTATATTATTAGGAAATTCCTAATACAGGCACACACACACTCTGGTACACTTATTTAATTTTTGTTTTGTTTTGTTTTAGTTGCTGGTCCTGCATAGTATACAGCAACCAGTATCAACTGAATATAATTCACTACACTCAACATAATAATAATATGTTGACTTTTGAATTTGTTTTTGGAATATATGCTCAAGAAAACATACTATAGGCAAAAATATCTGCATTAATAAATTTGTTCTTAGATATGAGTAATAATCTTAACACTGCTGGTATGTGTTTTTGAAAAGTTGCAAATAATAATTTCTGAACTGTACATTTCTGTAATTAGAAATTAAGGTTTGAAAAACTATTTTTTATAATGCTCTGTTAGTAATTTAAAAATTAAAGTATGCTCAATAATTGAAACTCAAACAATTAAGTTGTTAATTAATTAAGTATTGATTAGAAATAAATTATTAATTTTTTTAATAAACAATAGTATATTAGTGACAGAAAACTTAGCAAAAATATACTATTGTTTCCTGTCCCTAATTTCTGGAACATATTTTACATTAGTCCTTTGTTTCATATAGCATGGATTTGCATAACACTGCACTTCTTTAAATGTAACTACTGTGTTATACCATGGATACCTGTATATACTTTTTATAAACATGAAAACAATTTTGTATGTATTAAAACTATGTTTTTGGTTAACAAACCTCAAAAGTTTGAATTTTAGATTCTTATTATAAAAAATATTTTTTTAAATATAAAGCATATATAGTGTTGTGATTTTGAGAAATTGTAGTTATTAAGTTTCTAATTGAGTTTTAATTAAAATATATAACTTATTTTCAAAACAATGTACTAGTTTGACTTGTAGATTGTGTTTGATTCATATAAGTTAGTTAATTATCATTGGTTTTTTTTTATACAAGAGCCAGATATGGTAAAAAGGTAAAAGAAAGACAAAACAAGTGAACAAATTAATGATGAACAAGATGCAAATACATAAACTTTAATAATTTAAATTTGATAGTGCTATATATCAAACAGTTTAAAGATCTTTTATATCTGTGGAAAGGAAAATACTTATAGATTCACAAATATAGAAATAATTTTTTAGAGCTTTTCAGCTTTCTAAAAGTGTAACTACTTTCAAGATGTTCTCATATATTGCAAGAAAACAGTATTTAAAAGTACTAATATATTTAGTTGAAGATCAGTGTTTAATGGTACAAAGATAATTGGACATATATACAGAATTCTTAAGTATTATTTTTAAAAGAAGCTAATTATACTCCATAGTATATATATTGTTGTAAACTAAACAGTATTTACTAAATTTATTTAGTATTTAGACCATAACTCTCAATACATAGAGAAAACTACAAAGTATACAAACAGAGATTTGTAAATACAAATTTTCTTGATTATTTTCAGTAGTATGTTATAAATTTATAAAGAGATTATAAAAATTATTAATCCTGTTTTATTTATTTTTATTTTTTTAGATCCACCTCCTGCTCCATCTATATCAATTTCCCATGTAACTTCATCTAGTGTTCAGCTCAATTGGGAAAATTCTCAAGCAGTTCCCACATCAACAATAAAACGTAAGTCTATCTATTACAATATTTAATAATATATTTGCCTAATATAGAATTGTAATTGAAAAGCTGAAACTGATTTAATGAATATTGTCATGGTTCTAACATGATCAAGTAAAATTTATTTTATTCTAGCACTGTCTTCATAAAATAATAGTAGCATGTCTTTGAGTATAGTATAGATTAACTAAAGTTATTACTTTAATTATGACTCATTTGCAACTTCATCACTAATAAGTATTTTTGTGTAATGATAATTCTAATTTTTGTTTTTGTCTGATAGAGTGTCTTGTTAAGAGAATAAGTTTTAATCATAGTAGAGATAAATNAATGTTGTAAAATACTAAGCTATTTTTACACCTTTTATAACGATTAGCGACATGACTTTGTGCTGGAAATAGCCATTACCTAACGGGTACTTTACGCAGATTTGTGTTAATGTGCCAGGCCTGGACTTTAAGCGTGCACCGAAAGAAATAATGACAAAGTTAGTCAGTTATTACTTTAATTATGACTCATAGTATAGTATAGATTAACTAAAGTTATTACTTTAATTATGACTCATAGTATAGTATAGATTAACTAAAGTTATTACTTTAATTATGACTCATTTGCAACTTCATCACTAATAAGTATTTTTGTGTAATGATAATTCTAATTTTTGTTTTTGTCTGATAGAGTGTCTTGTTAAGAGAATAAGTTTTAATCATAGTAGAGATAAATGGCTTAATATAATAATTTTTTTTATAAGGGTAGTATTTATTTGATTAGCAAAATGACTGAAAAAATAATTACAAAAATCACACATCAATAGATGAGCAATATAGCTGTATGTAAAATTAAATCATTTACAGCCATATTCACAACCAAGGATCAAGAATTAATGATAATTACTTAACTTCTAACTCCAACTCTTGATTCTTTTTTGTGAATGCAGACATAACTTATTCCATTTATTGAAGAAAATTTTTATCTGAAAGACTCAGTGTGTTAGATCAACATCTCTAATTTTCAAAATTAATCAGTGAAACTTTAGAAAGAAAGTAATTGTTTATTCATAATAGAAAATGATTTCAACCTCATTTCAACTGACTTTCATAATATTTAAGAGAGGTTATAACATTCATTAAGTACTTTTATTGATAATTAGCTGACTTAATTACAAGTAACCCTAATATAACACAATAGTTAGGTTCCTGTAATATCATAATACAAAACCTGTTCAAAGTACTCAAGAGTTTCTGTGGGGTAAACTGGTCTTTTGTCTTCTTTTTAGTAAATTAAATACATTGTTTTAAAAATTTTATTAATAAAAAACAATGCTTATTTTCTGTTAGTAAAAATAACATTAATTTATAGGGGCAGGAATTACAGTGGATACCTAAGTTTTCTTCAGATATAGGGAAAATTTTCCAGCTTTCCCTCTCAATTCTCTTATGTTGTGTAGTGTGTTCTTAAGTATTTTTTGAAATTCCTTTGGATGCTTTTTGACATCTTTAATTCTAGAGAAATAAAGATACAAATTTTGGATTGTCTTAAATTTTAAGCTGATTATATATAAAGTTTTTTTTTGAGTCTTTTTACTTTTATCAACCATAATTAAAGGATAATACTTAATACACAACAAAGAAATTATTACAATATGATTCTTTGGAAAATTTACAAACTATGTATTACTGTACCAAACTTTTATGAGGCTCTGAATTAATCCAGCATCCCAGATAAAAGAAATTTGATGCATGACTTTTGGACTTTCATATAATATTGTTCATTTTTTTTTAACTTACAAGGCAGGATTCACAAAGAATTCATACTGAAAGATAGTAATTTTAGTTTACTAAAATTAAAACTATATACAACATTACTGGAAGAGAAAATTAAAATGTGGAATTCTATAAAATAGTAAATTGTCTCCTGGCATGCATTTAGCATGTTTGTCCCACCACATTCTAGCCCCAATAGTTTTTCTTGTTGTTGCACAATAATGCAAGCATGTATCAACTTTTGACACAAGACAGAATTTTTTGTATTGAAGTTGTCCACTCTTATTCACCAGATTTGTCTCCTCGACTATTTTCTATTTCACAATTGAAACTTAAAGGACATCTATTTGCTGATGTTCCCCCATCCAAAAAGCTGTGACAAGAATTACAGAAAATTCCTCTCTTTTTTAAATTATTTTTAGCTCTCCAAAAATTGTACAACTATGCTAAAGCCTGCATACATGCCAATGGATCATACTTTGAAACTGATGTAGTAGTTGTAAGTCTTTCATAATTTCCTTATTTGTCAAACATCTGACATCAACTGCAGCAAGAACATTTTAAAGACCACAGCTATTAAAAATACATTTATATTTTCAAAGTATTATTCTAGAAAATATATGCAAGTTCTTTGCAATTTGGCAAAAATGTTGTAAAATACTAAGCTATTTTTACACCTTTTATAACGATTAGCGACATGACTTTGTGCTGGAAATAGCCATTACCTAACGGGTACTTTACGCGGATTTGTGTTAATGTGCCACGCCTGGACTTTAAGCGTGCACCGAAAGAAATAATGACAAAGTTAGTCAAAACCAATCCAATATTTAATAATTCTAATAATGACTATGTACAAAAATTAGTAAAAATCAAACAACAAATTTATTCAAAGAAAATCAATAAGAATCATCCCAACAAAAAACTGAAATCAATCTATTTGCTAACTTAAATCTATTCCTCTTTGGAACTCAACAAAAAATTCAAAGACTTAACAATTCTTATGAACTAAGGTCCTAATCGTCATCTCAATATACTAGGAACCTTTTTCCTCAACTCTCAAGACTTTCTAATCTTTGATCCACAAATTGCCTTGGAACCATTTTATTGCTATTGGACACCTCTTGACGCTCACTGCTTCGAAGCTCACCTCGGTCATTTTCACTTGAGGTTTGGACTTTATACTATGAGGTGACGTTACAATTCTGATTGAGATCACTCCCCTCATTTACATACTTATCGCTAACAGTAAACTTTCCTTTCTGCCTGGCAGCCTATTTCCCAACAATTCTTGCAAACCTTTTACATTATTCTTTTTTACAATTTTTCAGGATGTTTTATTCTATAATTAAGGTTTAATTATAGAATGTATAATTAATTAAGGTTTAGCAAGTTCCTAAGTTGTGCTTGTGGGGTCTCTCCCCTCCTCTTTCTTGGTGTGGACTTACTTTTTTCTGCTCGGGAGCGCAAGTGTGCGCGAGTTTTTTCTACTGTGCTTTTTTTTTCGTCGGTGAGTTTGTTCTCTTTCTTCTATTTTTAAGTTTCTAAGGTGAGTGGTGAGGAAACCTTCATCCTAACAAAACATAAGGCCCAAACAAAATAGAATAAAAAGCAAAATAAAAAATAACTAAAATAACACTCGGACTTGGTTCCTTACAATGTGTAAATAAAAATCTCAATAATACTAATGTTCAAGTGAACTATATTAAATTAAGTTTGGCATTACTTTTACTGAATGGTCAGTAAAAGTAATGAGTAATCATAATGAAAAAAATTTTCTTTTAGAATATCTACTAGAATTCCATGGAGATAATAAAGATTGGATAAAACTTCATATTCCTAACAATCGAAAATCTTTTGTTTTAAATGGATTGGACAGTAGCAGGAGATATCAACTTCGTCTTGCTGCATATAATAGATATGGAAGAGGAGATTTTGCTGTAATTGGTTTTACCACAGCTCATAAAGGTAACATTGAAAATCATAAGAAATTAAACATAAATATGTATTTATCTTTTAAATGAATATGTATTTATTTATTTCAGAACTCGTAACACCTTTAGAAACATCATCTAGCTCAACACCATTCTATCTAAGATCATATGTTATTATACCTGTAGCAGCATCCATTGTTGTAATTGTGACTACTTTGGCCACAGCTTGGGTATGTTATAAAAGGATGACATTAAGAGAAAAAACACAAATTAGTAAGTAAAATTTATACTTTTTTTATTACAGTAAAAAGTTTAAAAATTTCTAGTTTTGAAAAACAAAGAAAAAAAAGAAAATCATCATAATTTTATGATAAGGGAGATCTATAACTTTGTCATTGCACTTCTAATGAAAGTATAAGAACAGAGAAGTTTGCTGTCATTGGAACTATTTTGTCAATGAAGAAATGTGTTTTTACATGGATTTATTAAAAAAGTAAAAACAAATGATTTAACTAAAGAAACTTACATTAAATTCCTATATAAGTATAAGATAAAAAATTTTTGTCATTAGAATCTTTTATAACACATTAAATTAATATTTATTATAATAAAAAATGCTTGCATCTTTCTGATCAGTAGAGGATATTTAAAATATTTACTTTGGAATAAATAATGATCAATCTGTGCATAAATAGCACTGACTTATACTAAAAAGGAACTAATTTAAACATTAAAAGAATGATAAATTTACAACACACATAATAGTTTTACAGATTGGGTCTGAGAAAAATATTCTTTGTAATAAAAAGGACAGAATATGCAGAAAAGCTTTCTTCTGTTGTAGATATGGATGATATGAGCAGATCAAACACTATGGTGATTGCAATTGAATAAATGTTTTTTTAAGATGCAAACATATCAGTGACAACACAGATCCAAAGTTCAAACACTAAAAAAAAGATTTAACGATAAGTCATAACTTAAGCGGAAAAATAAGATATACACAGCTAAATTTATATTATGACAATGAAGAATACGGTTTCTTGAAAAGACATCTTGTTCTAGATTTTTTAGTGTGTCATTTTTAATAAATATTTTATATTGTTTTATCTGGAATATATCACATTGAAATACATTATAAAGTCAAACTAATTACTGTAGTTAATTTAATACAACTTAGTAAGCAATATGCCTTACCCACTATTAATGTTTCAACCTGGTTAATGGGCCATCTTCAGTCAGGAACAGACATAAGATCCTTCCTCTTATGTTGACTTAACGCCAGATGATAGCTTGTATTGTGAACTAGGATGTCCACATTTCAAGTTCTTTGTTTTCTCAGAATTGATTTATGCTGTTAATAAGCAGTTAATGAATGATATATAAATTAAGTTTTACATTACAGAAAAATATATAATTATTTGCATCTTTACATACATGAATGTTATAATTTATTTTTTAACCTTAAAATAGTGCTCACTCAACAATATGGAGGAAGTATAGCTGGAGCCCGAGCTAGTCTTCACAGCAGAAATGGATATAGTGACATTCAGTCTTACTCTCCTCCTCCTAATACTCGTTATCCACCTGGTGGTGTTGCTGTTCCAGAAGACGATGCTTATGATGCTCCTTGGGACATGTCAGGAAGTCGAGACCCTCGTGATGTAAGTTCTATTAACAATGAATTTTGTATTAATTATTAGCATCAGAGAAAAAACATTTCTGTGTAAAATACTTTTTCCTTGTTTAAAACAAGATAAAAGAAAATAATACTCTTTCAATTCCTAAGGAATTTTTAACTTTTAACAACATTTTGCAGTAATTACTTAATCCTTGAACATATTATATAAAAATTTTTCAGTAATTTCATTTTCTTTAATAGAATAGAATTTTTCATATTTATTGGGAATAATAATAGGAGTGGTTTTTTTTACAAGACATTAAGCTATAAGCAAAATATATGTCTTCAACTGTATTTTATAAAAATTTAACTCCCAATATATATTCCAAAATTAGCATTTTCTTGCAATTTACATCATATTTTTTTCCCCTACAGTTTACATATAAATTTTCTTATAAATTACATTTCAATTTTTTGATGTTTGCTACAGTTTCACATCTTTATTGACATATCATTTTAAAAAAGTACACCTTTTTTATTTTTCCTTGTTTTTGAAAATAAATAAATTTTTAATAGTGTAGATTATGCCATTTTTACAGTTTTTGGTCGTATTACAGTGAAGTTTTTCCATGTGCTTTGATATTTGTATCCTCCTCCTTTATGTAAAGTTTTGTAAGTTAGAGAAATATCAAATACAGTAATGTTAAAGATAGTTTACAGCAGGGGTGTCCAACCCGCAGCCCGCATGCGGACCAAGGCAAGTTCCAATGCGGCCCAATAAACGTGTAAACAAAACTGACAAATGTCTTAATTTTTTTATTATTTATTTATTTCAACGGCATAAACTCAAAAAAGAAGTTTCACAAAGTCGTAAACTATTATTCATATTTTATTTTTCAGTGGAAAGGAAATATTTTCAAATACTTGGAGATGTGTGAATGAGGAAGGATTACTAAATAAAACTGGAGTTGTGTCTCAAAGAATTATATACCCAAATTTGGGAAAAGGAGGGAAAGGTGAGAAAGGACAAAAGATGTAGTAGTGAGAAAGGTTAAATAGATTTTCTGTTAAGCAAATATGAACCCTTAATTTTCCAACCTTTCTCACTTTTTCATCTTTTGTCTTTTCTCTCCCTTCCCTGCATTTAGTCTATAATCCTTTGAGTCCCAACTCCAGCTTTATTTAGTATTTCTTCCAATGTTGCAAGATTTGGCTACATTTGTGCCAAATGTGGCTACTTTTTTTTGGTTTGAGGTAAAAAATATCATTTGGCGCTTTGGCTACTTCTTGGGCTACATATTATTTATATATTAGTTGAATAAAAATGCACTTTGAAATGGTGTTTCGTCGCTTTTTATTAATTAGAGACCCAAATAAAACAAATATTTGTGTTTTTCAAATAAATTTTCGTTTGTCTTTTTTATAGTAAATGAATTTGTCTATTTCTAAGTAAAATTGAAAGTGTCTGTAGAAGTAATTTTTTAAAATATCCTTTTTCGTGATAAAGATTTAATACTTATTATTATAATCTAGATGTGTTAATCCTTTAGTATACTTGTATATTGGGCCACAAGTATATATAATATATACTTGTGGCCCAAAACTCCTTGACTTCTTCCAATGCGGCCCAGAGAAACTAAAAGTTTGGACACCCCTGGTTTACAGCATTTTGATTAAAAAGAAGATGCATTATATATATTTCCTTAATTTACACTGTTTTTTTGAGAAGTTCTCTGAAAAGTGTAAATAACTTTTCAAAATTCATAATAATGTTTATAGTGTCCAAAATATAATGCATCAAATTGTGTCTTTGAATTCATGTAAATACAGTAATGATTTTCTCACAGTATAAAATTCTCATGCTTATTGTTGTGAAATCATTTTTAATAATAATATGGTATTAAATAAAAATAATAAAAAGTAATGAATGATAAATTAACCTCTGAAGATAAGGTCTCTCTAGTAAATTCATGAATTTTACATGTTATTCTAGACTAGGTACTGTAATTTGAAACACAACTTTGCTAATACAGATCCAATCTGGCTCATGATCACAGATCAGTAACTAAAATACTTTATCTAAAAAGTTCTGTTGAATAACCAATAAGCTTATTTCCCATAGGAAAAGTATAAGCAAACTAAAAAATAAACTTGTAGTTTCCTAAACTCATCACACTAATAAACAATGGTCAGCAATTTATGCCACTTAATCTTTCCTCTGTAGATGATTTTATAATATTGGTATTAAAAACTGTTTCATAAAAAATATCCTCCTAAACAGCATCAACTGCTTAGCACATGTCAGACATTGGGGATTCACTATATCCTCAGAGATTGATCAGAATCAGTGACCTCAACATCATGCCATCCATCCCTTTGTAAGTAACAATAGACCTGACATTGATTAGGCAGACAAAACTTTTCAAATTACTTTTATAATTGATATTGCAATTCTGTTGTATCAAAATTTGAAAGAAGAAATTCAATAAATCTGGCAGTAAAAACAGATTTTTGTTATATTGCAAAAAAGATTGGAAATTCCTTTCCAAAAGTTGAAATATGCATTCTTTGAATATTCTTAAAATTATAGTTTCATTATATGTAGAAAGTTAGTCTTCATATCTATCATTTAGTGTGAAGATTGGCATGAAATGAATTTTTTCCTTTCACATGTTGATCCAAAATTGACTTTTCATTACTACAACAACAAAATATTAGACATATCCATTCCAAATAAAGATTGCAATATCAGTGTTATTAACTTTCAGTCTAAATTTTCAAAACCAAAATACCAGTATTCAGGGTTATTGAGAGGAAAGAGAGCTGGAGACTTTGCCCTAGGCCCATAGTGGTTCTTACTCCTGTAAATTAAATTTATTTTCCTGTTAGTAAAAATAATACCATTAATTAAGGCTGTTTTTTATTAATAAAGAAACATTCTGCATTTCATTTGTTCAAAAACAAAATGGCAAAAAGGGTCCCATACAAGCTCTTAAAGGCTCTGCTAGTATTACACTGACACTAATACCAATTGATATTTTCCTAATTTTCAAAATATATTATTCAATTTTTTTCAAGTTTTAAAGGGTAAACAATTATACAAAACATTACAGAGAGTCAACAAAAATATTAAATTAACTGTATTTTAACAAAGTGATTTCTTTCTCAGTTCTGTACTGCCCAAGTACCAGGAGTGGAAGAGTATTTGCCAATCAGTGCGTTTTTCATTGTTTTTGGTGCTATGCTACTTATACAATAATTAAAGAACTGTAAGACACACAACCTTTGCAAATGATATCATATGCAAAGTTTAATTTTATTGATGAACTTGCAGACTTGTAGTCTATAAAATTGAAGAAAATTAAAATCAATGCTGCTAATTTGGTCTGTCATTTTTACCTAAGGGGAAAAAGGTGGGTTCTTGGACAAAATTAATTAAAACTGCAGGAGGATTGACTAGTAGTATGCATACTCATATACAGAAAGTACAGAATGTCAGTTTGCATAAAAGAGGGCTTAAGCAGAAACAAGTGAACAAAAAACAAGTACTTTAACAATTAATTACTTTCAATCTTAAAACTAGCAAAGAATTATTCCAATTTTATGAGAAAAATAATCAAAGATGGGCTGATCTCCAGTGTATATTGTATGCCTGAAGATCTGTGTTGTACACTTAGAAGTGCAAGGTTTTATCAAGTTATCTGTATCACCTAAAATAATTTAGAAAGTATTCATAGATTATAGTGAAACTATTTGTTTTGTAATTTCCCAGTTTTTCAGTTGGGCAATTTCATGGGATAATATTAACCTTAGATATTTCACTTGAGAATTAACAGTATAGGAATACTAATGTTCTCTATGCAGTTTGTAATTACAATGGACTAACACTTAAGTTGTCATGATTTTAGAATCTGATGTTGAGCTGCTAGCTCAAATCAGTCTCATAAAAGAAAAACTGAATCATCACTGTCTGTCCCTAGGAAGTATTGGATGCTTTACCGTGCAATACATTCATTGTTTCTGTTGTCACAGATGGTGCTTTAGTGTTAAAAAAAAAAAGTAGGGAAGATGATCCAATATCCACAACAGTTATGCTTTGCACATGAAATTCATTAATCACTAATAATTGTGTGATATTTTATGTAAGAAACATCATGTATGAGTGAAAAAAGAGAAGAGTTTTTAAATCTGATTAATTTTAAATCTTTATATTCATAAGACTCTGAAATGGAATGGGTTTTTGAAAGACAAGATGTGCAAGAAGTTGAATAATATGATGATTAAATTATCCTGATGATCAGGAATGTTGTGATGAAGCCAACAATGAACTCTGCCACCTGGAAATTTCTTATTATTAAAAAAGTACATTAAATGGTGAAATGGTTTATATAATCTTAAACTAAAAATGACAGTTCTATAAAAATACATAAAACTTGAGTGTAGCAAAGAACTATGTTTGCTTTTGGACTCCAGGACTCAACAGTCTATCATACTAACTATGCTTTATACTTGATAAAGTTTTCCTGAATACAAATTTAATTGTTGGAGGAAGTTTTTAGTGTCCTGGAGCCTATAAAATTGACCATAGAAGCATTATGCTGCTACAATGTAAGTAGTTTTATTGTGGATACAGCACTATTTTTTGTTCTTAAACTCTTTAAAAGCCAACCATCAAAATTAAGGAATGATTTTTAGAATGCAATGATTTGTTATGTACAAGACAGAACAGTAGTTGCATAATCTAAACATAATCCAAACTTTGTAGCTGCTCCAACAAGTTTTGTCTTAGATTGTCTTTCAATTCTAAGGAAAAATATATTAAACAGAGCTATAAAACCATTGGCAGTCTACCTAAGCAAAACAGATGAACCAATAACGGAGACCAAAGATGGTGGGTACAACTCAAGAAACAGAAATCATCCCACTGATACAATTGAAGATTTCATGCCCAAACCCATGGAAGCAGTGGCAGATTTAGCACTTGAGAGGCTTGCAGCACAATTCAATTTTGAGGCTCCCTCTAAATATTTTTACTACCCCTAC